GACCCACGTGTACCCATGACCCACGTGTACCCATGACCCACGTGTACCCATGACCCACGTGTACCCATGACCCACGTGTACCCATGACCCACATGTACCCATGACCCACGTGTACCCATGACCCGCGTGTACTCATGACCCTCATGTACCCATGACCCACATGTACCCATGACCCACGTGTACTCATGACCCTCATGTACCCATGACCCACGTGTACCCATGACCCGCGTGTACTCATGACCCTCATGTACCCATGACCCACATGTACAGGCGGGCGGTTAGGTGCCCCCACCATTACGGGCGCAGGTCGCGCCCTTCAGGAGGACGAGGTCGCTGAACTGCGCTGCGCCCCTGGGCCTCAACCTGACGGCGAGCCGCTGCCGCGACTAGCGTGGCTCTTGGACGGACAAGAAGTTAGAAAATATTAGGTTTAATCAATTTATCTTCAAAAAAACTTCCAAGTTACCAAAATGAATAGTTTAATTGTCGAAATTAAGCTTTTGTGTTGTTATGAATGTGCATAAATACGAAAAGTTGGACAAAGAAAAGTCATAATTTTTAAAATGTTGTCTGTTATGTCAACTTAGTGATCAGAGAAGACTAATATCAAGAAAGCTCGAAATAACTGTCAAGATGAAGGGCAATAATTGTAGAGATAATCGGAAATTGAAATATAATTATGAAATTAGTCTTGCTAATTTTTTCCTTCATTTATAATTGTAAATAATTTTCTATCGAATTCCAGGTCGGTGCGAGTGTTGTTGAACGCTACGGCGCGTTCGTAGACGCTGAGGTTGATATTCATCTTTCAGTTCCAGCATCGCAGGTAAATTGAGTGCAAGAAGTGAAAGTTTGATCAATCAACATGTAATATAAGTTGTGTGATAACATTTTCTGTTTCACTTTCAATCGCTGACGGAGACTGTTAGACTGAGACAAACAAAGATCATTAGATTGTCTGAGATAACCAAAAACTTTGCTTAAGCTTCAGTGCGTTGTCTATAGGCTGAAGATTACGTGTCTTATCTAAGATCCAAAGCTTTGGTGCGTTGTCCACCATGGTCCATGCACTTGTTGCAGGTGGTGGCAGAGGGCGGCAGCTTGCAGGTCGAGTGTCGCGTGTCTCTGGGGCCGCTGCGCAACAGCGCCGTCGTTGTGCTGCGCATGCGCCCGAGAGAAACATTCATATCTTCTGCCACGCCAGCTACTGCCATTCCAATTGGTAATTTTCATTGACATTTACTTAACAGCACATTCATTGCAATACTGAATAGCAATAGTCATCTGATTTATGCTTTAAATTTCAGATTTTACGGTTTTCGTAGAGTTGTCTAATGTGTCCATTCTCTTTTCCGACAGCAAACCTGCTTATGTTCCTGTCGATGGCCTGCGTGATAATGTCTGGGCAGCCTTGTTCTCCATGGAGCAGCCTTATATAAAAATATGTATAGAATTAACCTTGTCAGTTGGTGCATTTAACTTAAATAAAAAGTTGATGAGTTTATTTAGAAAGTTCTAGAGTCGTAATATATCTCCGAAATGTTGAAAGGAGCGCAATTTCCGGCCCATAATTATGTATCTGACGCCGAGATTGTGGCATATACCCATTATTTTGCGACATATTCTATCTGTGTTAACAGCGCCTTAGCATGATTATCAATAGTTTCACTGCGGTTAGGAGTTCAATGTTGATCGTTATTTCGAATTAGCTATCGATGAAAGATTATTGAATGATATTGGTTGTTAGTATCTGGTGCATTTATTCTGTTACAGTTCTTATATTTCATGTAATTTTTTCCGCCACACTTGGCTTACTCGGGTTTGCGCGGCACAGATTGCATATTTATTTCCTCTGTTAAGTTTTCATGATTATTTGCCGATTTGGCTCTTCATGCGATTAGCGTGATAGTGCTATCATGTGAGTATTTACCTGAATTTTATGACAAAAAGTTCTGATAATATGAAAGTAGTAAAAAAGTGAGTAGCACAAATAAAAGACTTGTATTTTGTTTTTTTTTCATTGTTGATGCAAGGAGAAGCTTTATTCAGTGTGAAGGTAGTCAAAAGTCGTATAAACTTTGCGTCGTAGTCGAACGACGCTCCGAGCTTGTTTAAAGGATGTAAGCCCTGAGTGCTTCGTAATCTCCTATTCCTGAACCTGATCTCAAATGCGAGGCATGACCGCAGTAACATCTGATCAGATTTTACGCTGCTAGAAAAATTTAACACGATGTAAATACACGAACTTCTTAGAATACTTTCCTCGTTCCTGTGTTGTCTCTGTAACTTCGAAGCAAGCGTTTTTTACTTCTACTTCAATATCTATAATTTCTTCACGTTTCTCGCTTACATAATCTCTTAATTTTACGGTTTAATATACACTCAGTAATTACATTGAATTTTCTGAAAAGCTGGACGCTTGGATATCTACACTTACTTTTTACAACCGATTGCGTTTTTTCCTTGATAGCTTCTATAATAATTAGTTGGTTACTGCATATTGTTGTGATGAGTGTAGGTCGAGTGTACTGCGTATGTATTTTTTTTTGTCCTGTGCGATGCTCTAACGTCTTTTGTTATACTATAAATATTATGTTGTACATGTTGTACATACATAAAATATTTTATCTCGCTGCTATAATATTAGCTGCTTATCATGTTATCAGTAGATTTAATTTTGTTGATTTACAGTGAAATTGGGATCATTGCCGAGTCTTCCCAAGTCAACTAATTAAAATCATCCAAAACAATTTTATTACAATAGAAACCGGAAATAAGCTAACAAGCTATAGATGCAAAAAAGCGTCCCTCCGAGTTTAAGCCATTATTAGTAAGAAAACTAAATGTCTTGTTTCAATTTTAAAGCTGTTATCACAATTTCTCTAATAATTTGTATCAATAACTGTTGAACCCCTAAAGAGACATTATAAAATTTTTAATTATATATTTTATATTTATAAATTTAGATATTTTTATTATAAAATTGGTACAAGCAACTGACGTAAAGTTGGTTTTTCATGCGAAAGTCAGAGTATAAATTTTTTTATATATGTGCTTTCTTCGTCAATTAATCAATTGAAAGACGAATTAATCATCAATCAAATATCTAACGGCAATTATGCAACGGTAGAACTATCATCAAGATTAAAAACAATAATCGCATAAGATTGCTCCACTCAATTTAAACTGCACGCTAGAATTAATGAATAATTGCTTCGCTCACCAGCTATGACGCTAGATCGTTAATTTGCTGTGAAGCCGTTGCAGTTCTACACGAAGTAAATAAAAATCTACACTTACATTTTCTAACCATCGATGCTGATCGCTTTTTTATTCAAACGCTTTAGGGGATTTATTTTTATTTAGAATCGACTGAGGCGTATTTTTAAACATGGCCTTTTGTCATCAACGAATTGCGCTTATTAAATAAATGGAAATTGAAGCAGAAAATTTGCATTTGTTTCCTTCAATGATTGAAATTTCATTGGAATGTTTGCGAAGCGTTCCTTTTTTGACTGCTAATGATCCTTAGAATGTAGTGGCATTTTTCTAGTTTTAACAGAATATTATTTTTCCAAAACTTTCAGCTGTGTGCGTAACCTGAAAATTTACAGCTGAAATCGGATTGTAATTAGTTTGCAGGCAAAGTCGGTGTTGCTAAGGTGTATTTAATCTTTAATATTGGAGAATTTTATTCTAACTAAATCGTCTTTCTTGTTGTCATACTATTTATAAAATAAGAAAACCTCAAACCGAGGTTAAACGACCTAAAAAAACAGCTCTAAAAGCAATATAAACAAAGGCCCTCATGAAAATCTCTGTAAGAAATTTCAAGGAAAATAAGTAGAGTTGGAACAAAATTGGAAAAGAGTTTAATTTAATCTTTTTCAATCCGTAAAATGAAATTAAAGTAAGCTAATATTCCGATAAGATATTAATTATAACTAAGCGCTCTCGAATTATCGGTACCCATGCTGGGCTGATGCCGCTGTGTGTACGATGCAGCTCTTAAAAGCACAGCGCTAAGCGCACAAATTTTCTGTATTACATAGTGAATAGGGCACGAATATATGCCTAACTGAGTCATATTATAACAATACATATTTTTTATTAATTCAAGCCTTTGCTCTCCACGAAAAACTCCACAATTATTCCAATATTTTTTCTGAAACAAATTGTACCCAATAACATTATCAAGTATAGGAGCCAAACCTAGTTTAGTCTGATGATCAGAAAAAATTGAATAGTCTGAGTTCGTTGCTCTGGTCCAGAATATCGCTACAATTCAATATTACTGCAATTTTATCCGTTAGTTCGTTGGAGGTTCTTCGTAACGTGTGCGGTCTGAATGCTTTGACCCCCCATGCGTCAACAGCTGTTAGCAGCAGCACCGCTGCGACGTCTGTTTTAACAACGGTTACAGCTGCTGATCCTGACAGCAATAATGACAGCTATATAGCTTTTGTCTGGGAAAACATCCGTCGGCAGATGTGTAGCGTGTGGGTTTAGATACATCTGCCATAATAACACCCCATGCACATGCCAGATTAAGAATAGGCCGGGTATTTGCGTCCAAGCGAATGCGAATGTCACCAGATATAGATTATGTTTGATTGAGGATGACGGATGTCTTCTATGGTGGTCGCCAACTAACAACGAAAATGGCTTATTATAGATCACAACTTAATACAATATTGAATGGATGAAAATTTTGATTTTCAACTCGGAATATTTTAGAAGTACGTTAGGACATTTTCTTCTCAAAGGCAAAACTTGCACTCGCCTCTTATGTTTTCTCATGGCAGCAAATGGAAAATTCAAGAGCTAATTACCAACTTTAACATAAATGAGCCTTTAAAGAAATTATCTGGGTTACGTGAAAACATTTAAACTTCGCATGATTACAGAGGCGAAGGTCCAAACGACGGTTTAATGAAATGAAAACTCCATACTGGGTCACCATGAAGTGGCTTTATTCATGCGGTACTTATACATTGCACATAATTTAAGCTTTATTTTTTATCATTACGAAGGGGACGATAATCGACGGCCCTAATTATCAAAATGACATAGGGTCGTTTTTTACCTTGATCGATGCCCGATCGACGTTCCAATTACAATCTAGCTCCATTGTTGCAATCGGTTTGTTTTTCTGCCAGCTGACACTGGCAAGAGGTTTAAAACCCATTAGGTATCCTAATGAACCGCAGCAAGAAGCTGCGACGTTTCATTGCCCATGTTGTTTCTAATGAGGTCATTACATTACCTGCTATACTCCCTGAATGCCAAGGGGGCCCTATAGGCTGCGACTCGAAGCGTCGGAGCGCGATGCGTCCACTGTACGTATATAGTGACAGCCATCACCGGGCAAAATGGAGAGATATTCAGTTCCTTTAACGTTTAAGGTGCTTATATAAAAAAGAAGAGTTTGCCGCTCGTCACATTCGTAGATCACGTACGTCGCAAGATAAACGAGCACAGCAGGTGCGAAGCTGCTGGGCGTGAACTCTTTAGTAGCTGTTGCTCAATATGCTTAGGAGCTGTTAAGAGAGTAACGCGATCAAGAGCTACCGCGGTGCTGGCTGAGATCACGCTAATGGTTTCGAGCAAGCGTACGAGATTATTTTATTTTTGATTAAATTGAATTATAATAATCCCGACTGACGGGTGAAAATAGAGTGCATGACCACGAGAAATAAACGCTCGTTTAAACATTGGGAGAAATCATACTCGAGTAAGCTTGCTCGTGAGACATAATCTAAATCAGTTGAGGCTTCAGTTAGCTTCAGTAAACTAGTCAGCGAACATCTTTCTTTTTAGTCGCTAACGAACCCCAACGCGTCACGACTCCCACGGCGCTCCTAAAAAATTCTTAATCACCACATTCACGTCTCGGGAGATGATCATTGATCATAGCGAGGGGGCGAGGGGCTTGGCAACTTATTTGCTTGCGTGTAACGAGCGGCGAGTTTGATGCAGTATGGCAAGCCACGAGCGTAGGTGGCAGCTTCCTTATACATTGACCGGTTGACACTCGCACAAAACGTTAGCTCTCAAATTATAGGAGATGGAAACGCAATTGAATTAATAGCTCTGAGTAATGAATGTTGACAGCAGAAAAAGTAGGAGCAGACGTATAATTCATATCGCACAACTTTTCGATATCTGTCTCGTGGCACAAGTAAGTTACCTGCATCTGACACGTCACGCTGACAAACTTATGTGCTGATGAACGCCAAACTTTAGCATAATGAATTTGACTCGCAGACCAGGATGTACAGCAAGGCTTTTAATTAGAGTTAAGATGCACAAAAAGTATTTGCACTTGTGCCCTGAATCGTGCATTTGATTTTCTTTAAACCAAGCTTGCCTTGAGCATGCAACGCTGCAAGTGAAATGAAGCCTTCAAGTGAACGAATGCAGTTATTTTTTAATGACTTCAGTTATTTATAGTAATTTCCTTGCAAGATTTTTCAGTGATCCCTAAAGGAAAATATTCCATGAAGAATTATGCTACTTGATAGAATTGTTATAAATCGTATTTAATTATTACTAAGATTTAGATCACGTGTGTTTATAGTTTAAAGTTTAAACAGACTGTAATAGGCTTAACTTTAGAAAATTATGAAGTAAGAAGCACATGTTCGATGTAAAACGAAAGAGATAAACTATGCCAAAAAAGAAATGTTTTACATAACTTTCCAGCATTCGGTCTATTGAACATTTTTCGTTATTTAAATTTTTCCTTTAAACTTGAATAAATCTGCTTTCTGTTTACCACTCATTTATACATGAACATGTCCTTACTATCTATAATACTTATCCACACTATTGAACATGTCCGCGCTATCTATACTACTTATACACACTATTGAACATGTCCGCACTATCTATAGTATAGATATAATATAGAGCATGTTCACTCTGCCTATACTTATTCACACTATAGAACATGACCGCGCTATCTATACTACTTATACACACTATTAAACATGTCCACTCTAGCTATACTTATTAACATTGTTGGACATGTCCGCGCTATCTATACGTATTACCATTGTTGAACATATATTCATTCTACATATACCTATCAACATTGTTGAACACGTCCGTTCTATCTACACAACATCTCAGAACGCTGCGCTGAACTGCTCTGCTCGCTCTAATGACCCACACAATCGCAACTTAGTTAGAACTCTTGCTTCGAAAAATTAAATGCAGTATACATCCGCTAAATTAACATACATATACGCTACATTTTCTGAACACTTTCATAATTTATTCAACATACATCTTATGCGTATTTTCCATATAATTTATATGTTCACATTTTTTCGTATAGGAAAAAAAATAAAATAAACAATTACTACCAAACTACATTTTTACGTTTTTGGTAACGTAAATTACGTAACTTTTACGTAATTACACCTATTTACTTAACACATTCGGAATCATCGCTCTTGTAAACCTCGTTTCTAATGGCATTGGAACCAAGTAAATAGAAAATTATCATTACTTGCAATAAATAATATGCTGTACTGCTTAACGGAAAATGAAGTTGTTTGAGTTGAGTTTTATCGATTCATTTCCTTCAACTCTAGAAGTGAACTAGCAAACATAAGCCCAGTAATCAAGCTGCTAAATTAGGCATTTTTATTATTGAAGTTCCAAAACACAACCCTGCGTGATCGTCAAAAATTATTCATCCTCTGATTCCACCAAACTGTCACTCGTCACTGTTATTCAATAGGGTGAGCTTATAGGGTGAGCTCAATAAAAAATCAAATGTGGGATCAATTCTTGAATGCCAAACTAAAAGCAGGTACTCTTCACCTCTACCAAAAACTCAATCTTGCATTTCATACTTCTATAAACTTTTATATGTTATACATTTGTCATCAATAATAAGTGCAGTGAATATCATGCTAAGTTCATGATTATTGTGACTTCAGAGCGGGTAGTTCGGAGGCATTAGCAGGCGCACCAACATCGCGAAGATGAAACTCCCACTTCGAGTCCGGCCCAGTCCGATCGACCAGCCTGTAAAGCAAACGAAAAATCAAATTTTAACGTAGAAAAAGTGATGTATTCTAAAAAAATTTAAGAAAATTATTGCAATTAATTGATGGTTGGGCTCACGTAAAACTTATATCATCATCACCGCATCACCTATTACACTTATTAAATCGTACCACTTAAAGTGAATTCTCATGCAGAATTAAAACAGTGACGCTATATAGAGCCCCTGTCAATACCCTATACATCTTAATATAAAAAATTGTGTTCGGATATTTCTTGGTTGTCTTGATAATTATCCTTTCAATTTCTGGAATTACGAAGACAATAAAAAAATTGCGTTAAGAATTTTGAAACGGATTTTTTAATTTGGAAAGCGCAGTTTTTCAACATAACGTAAAAGAGGAAATATTTCTTCAAAATTAACA